TGATTTCTACAGGGGTTGTACTAGTCTGCATTCCCACCAGGAATGCGGAAGGGTTCCTCTTCCTTCTGCTGCCTCGCTGGTATTTGTTACTGATTTCTTCACGATGGCCGTTCTTTCTGGGGTAAAATAGAATCTCAGTGTTCTTTTAATTTATATGTCTCTAGTGGCCAAAATGTTGAACATTTTTTCATGTATCTATTGGCCATTTGTACTTCTTCTTTTGGGAAGTGTCTATTCATTTCAGTTGCCCATTTTTGATTGGGTCTTTTATTTGGGGCTTCTATTATCTTGAATTCTTTATATAAGGCCATGTGTAAAGACTTGATATTAGTCTTTGGTTGGAAGAATAGCTGGCAAAAATCATTTCCCATTCTTTTTTTTGTTTTGTTTTCTGGTACCGGGAATTGAACTCACGACCTTGTGCTTGCCAGGCAGGGGCTGTGCCGCTGAGCTAAACCCCTAGCCTCTCATTTCCTATTCTGTAGGTTGTCTTTTCACTCTGCTAATTGTTTATTTTACTGAGCAAAAGCTTTTTAAACTTGACATGCTCTCATTTGTTGATTTTGGGTACTATTTCCCGTATGACTGGAGTTCTGCTCAGAAAGTCCTTGCCCACATACACGACTTCAAGAGTTCTATCTCTTTTGTCTTCCACTAGATTGTTTGTTTTAATGTTTAGTATTTGAGCCATTTTGACTTTAGTTTCATACATGGTGAGTGTATGAGTCAGGGCTTACTAGAGAGACAGATATAATACAAGATACACAAATATATGAAGTATGTAAGAATTTTCAAGATTGGCCTACAGTGAGCTCCCAGAGTCAGGTGTGGAGGGGTGAAGAGGGTGTGCAGGAGCTGGTTGAAGGTCTGGAGCTCAGTGTAGTGTCTCGTGAGTCTGTATCAAGGGGCCGGAAGATCTGCCCTGGAAGGCCGAGGGGTCAGTGCTGGGGGCCGAAGGGGCCGCTCCCGAAGCCAGGAAATGACGTCCAAGGTAAAGGTGCAGACTGGAGCTCCTCCAAAGAAACAGAAGCACAGAAGTGAGCCTTCCTTCCGCGTTGCCCTTTACACTATTCTGGCAATAATCCTCCCTCCAGTGGGTCTTCCACACCCAGAACTATGCTGAGCCTATTTAGTTGGACATTGTGTACTCAAATTGACAAATCAATCAACTGTCTCAGTAAGAGATATGGCTCTAGAGTCTATCTTCGGCATGTGCATAGCAAGTTTTTCCAGCACCGTTGATTAAAGAGGCTATCTGTCCTCAATGTATGTTTTTGGCCCCTCTGTCAAAGATCATATAGTTGAATGTGCTTGGGGTTGTTTCTGCAGCCTCTGTTCCATTCCATTGATCTTTGTGTCTGATTTTGTGCCAGTACCGTGCTGTTTATATCACTGTAGCTTTGTAATATAACCCAAAGTCCAGGATTGTGGTGCCTTCTGCTTTGCTCTTGTTGCTCAGGATTGGTTTTGTCATTCTGGGTCTATGTACAGATTTGACACAATCCCAATCACAGTTATGACAGCACTTATCACAGACCTGGATTAAACAATCCTAAAACTCATATAAACCTGGATTTCTGGTGGTGGGCTCCAGCTTTGTTTCCTTAAGGACTTTGAGGAAGACCAAGCATCTGAACAACTTCCAAGTTTACCCACTGAGCTTCTCCCTGGGGCGGAGTCATGGCGGGTGGGTGAGTCTGAACAGAGCAGACGACAAACTCCAGTGAGGGAGCCTCAGTATTTTTAAATTCACGGACCACAAAAATCCATGCCCTTAATGTATACTTTTGTAAATTTGTTTATGCAATTGTCACTGCAGCCTAACTTCAGAATATTTTGTCATCCCCAGTTGTAGTGGATTGACAACAGCTGGTCAACTTATAACCCCCAGCTGAACTGAGTGAGTGGTGCTGGGTGTGGGAG